GAGACCAGCCTGGGCAACTTGATGAGACCTCGTCTCTACAACACACCAGAAAATTAGCTAGGCGTGATAGTGCACACCTGTGGTTCCAGCTACCTGGAAGGCTGAGGCAGATGGCTTGCCTGAGCCCAGCAGGTCAAGGCTGCTGCAGTGGCTGTGAGCGTGCCACTGTACTCCAGCCTGGGTGACAGAATGAGATGAGACTCAAAACAAAACAAAACAAAACAAAAAACCCAACAACAACAAAAGAAATGACCATCAAACCTGTTCTCTCCAGTCCATTTTCTATACTTCCACGCCCCATCCCCACCAACCTCTTCCTTGCTGGCTCCAAACCCTCTTGCCTCAGCGTCTTCAACTGCAGTGTTCTAGGAGGAAGTCAGTTCTAAGCTGTGGAGCAGACCAGCTCAGCCTATCCAGGAGAGAGCTAAAGATTCACCAAGGCCTCTTCAAGACACACCAGTTACCAGAAGTATGACGGGGGAACAGCTTTCAGGGTCTTCCAACTCTGTCCCTTGCAAGTCTCCCCGGCTTTGAGGTGACAGGAAACGGGTCTGTCAGAGGCACCAGCAAGCGTTGCTGATTCTTGTTAGACAAAAAACTCCCTGTCCTAGAATGCTAACCTTTTCTGCCCATTGTTGCATTGTTCAGCTTACACATTTGTACCAAATGGCTCAGAGACTGAGGACTCCAGGCATAGCTAACGCTGGGGACACCCTTGCCACCTAGGTGTTTGTGCTCAGTTGGATTCTCCAGTACAATGGTGGTCCCCCATGGAGCAGAGGGGCTGAGAAGGGATGCTGCTGCCAGGAAGAGTTGATGGGTGGCGCAGGAAGAAGCTGAGCAGGCAGTTTCTCATGAGTGATGACCCTGAGGCTCAGATCCCGACTGCAGACTTAGCAGAAAGCACAGTTAAAAAGCACAACAGGAACCTACTGAGAATCCCTCGAAACCACCCACTCTTGAATAGTCCCTGAGGATAACAAGAAAGCAAATGAATGAAATATGAAAATGTAAGCTGGGTGTGGTGGCTCATGCCTGTAATCCCAGCACTTTGGGAGGCTGAAGTGGGAGAACTGCTTGAGCCCAGGATTTCGAGACCAGTCTGGGAATCACAGCAAGACCTCATCTCCACAAAAACATAAAATCAGCTGGGTGGGGTGGTATGTGCCTATGGTCCAGCTGCTCAGGAGGCTGAGGTGGAAGGATCACCTAAACCCAGGAGGTCGAGGCTGCAGTGAACCGTGATCGTACCACTGCACTCCAGCCTAGGCGGTAAGAGTGAGAACCCCAACTCTAAACAAACAAATAAGAAAACCTGTGAGTGTTACATACTACATCCACCTGAGGTTCATTTTATCAATTTATTGAGCACCTACAGAGCAGGGCTTTACTGGGTTGTAGAGAATACAATGATGAATTACTTTCCTATAATCTACATAAGATTCATTCAATCAGCAAATATGAAAGAAAAGAACAAAAGGCAGGCTTCCAAGTGGCGAGAGAGAAATACGAAACAACATGCTGTGCGACTTTAAAGGGGAACGAACAATCAGAACTGGTTGAGGGAGAAACATTAGGAAACATGCCCGAAATCAAGTGCCCGAAACCCAGAAGTCAGAGCAGTTGCTCATCAGGAGTTTCTGGCAGTGGCCCCTGGCAGGAAAGATGCAGGGCTGGGGTCAGCCACACCGAAAGGAGAGGCGGGGAGGCTGCGGAGGCAGTGGTGCTACTGACTGGCGGCAGAGCACCGTCCTCCAAGAAACTTAACTGGGCTTTGCCATCCTGAGACACCAGGAGGACAAGCTGGTTTGCAGAATGAAAGGGTGAGCAGAGACTGCCACACTTCGTGAGCACCCAAGTCCAAATAACCACTACATGGGACCGCTCTAGGCTGTACTCCCCAGTGTAGGACATTAATGAGTGCTTATCCTCTCGTGTATAATATCCGGTTTTCCTCCCAGCCCCAAGGAATCTCCTAAAACAGGGACACTTCTGACTTCCAGTAGAAGAAACTAAAAATACACCCCTGGTCCCCCAGTTACAATTCTAAAGGGTTTCCCATAAACTCCGTGTTCTCTTAGAAAATGATCATCGGCCGGGCTTGGTGGCTCAACCTGTAATCCCGCGCCTTTAGGAGGCTGAGGTGAATGGATTGCCTGAGCCTGCGGGTTCGAGACCCGCCTGGGCAGTGAGACCTCATCTCTACAATAAATCCAAAAATGAGCCGGGTGTGATAGCGCACACCTGTAATTCCGGCTACTCAGAAGGCTGAGGCGGAAGTATGGCCGGAGCCCAGCAGGTCGAGGCTGCGATGGCCGGAAGTGGCCATTGCACTCCAGTCTGGGCGACAGAATGAGACTCCAACTCAAAAAAAAAAAAGAAAAAGATCATCATTCTGACCACCCCTTTTAAGTTGCAGGATGATCTTCTCCCCATTTCTACCCTCCCATTTTCCCATTCCTGAGTCAATGGCCTAATGACCGGGCTGCTCTCGAGAAGGGAGCTGCTATTATTAATAGGTCCTTGTTTGTAAACAAATGGAATGAAGGTCATTGATCATACACATCAAGGCCTACAAGGGACGCAATTAATTAAGTGGCACCATCTCCAGTGGGTTTTGTGAGTGCCTGGAAGCTGCAGGGTTGTCTCTAAACTTTCTTCCAGGCATTTGGCGTTACCCTTGAGTAGCACATGGATCCCCTGTGGATTAAAGGACAAAACCAGGAGGGATCTGGCTTCTATCATCCCTTCCTCGCCCTCACCCGATTCTATAAATCACTTCTGGCAGGTAGCTGGGAAGCAGCTGCGAGTGACAGGTTTGCTCTGGAGCACAGGAAGCCACCTTTTAACCCGCCTGCTGTTGTTTGTCTCTCGAAACGTGACAAAAGAACAGATGTAAGCAACATGCCAACTGTTGAGAGGATCTGCTCCGAGCACTATAGGAAGCCTGTTCAGAGCCACATCACACCAGCCGCTCCAAGGAAGGACAACTGAGTTCATTTCCTGAAACCCCTACGCTCGCTCTGTTCACGTCAAGTTGAGATTGGCAATGCTCAGGCAACTCACCACGCACACCCCTGCTTCCGCCTTGGCCTGTGGCTCCCTGGTCTCGAAGTTCCTTCCTGAGCTCCATTCAAATGCCAGAGCCCCAGTGCAGCCTCACCTCCCAATGTCTTCTCTGACCCCACACCCATTCCCCATCTCTTGACCAAACTATAGTCGGTGCCAGTCTCTAAGTCTCCCAATCTCATTTTTGCAAACCACCTTGCTATTATTATTTTCGAGCCAGGGTCTCGCTATCACTCAGGCTGGAGTGCAGTGGTGCAATCAACACTCACCACAGCCTCGAGCTCTTGGGCTCAAGTGATTCTCCTATCTCAGCCTCCCAAGCAGTTGGGACTACGGGTGTGAGCCAATGTGCTCAGCCATCCTGTTATCTTCTTGAGGACTGGCACTATGGCTATTGCCAAAGTAGTGGTTTTTCAAATCACCAGTCGCAAACCATGAAAACTTTGGGAAACAAGTTTAAAGCGTTGCACCCAATATTTAAAAATATGAAACAAAAACAAGCTTACAAAAGACAATCTCGGGGTGATTGGGGGGACTATGAAGTGGATATTAAGGAAATTCCTATTAATTTCCTTAGTAACGTTGGTATGGCTATGTAGGGGAATGCCTATCTAAAAGAATTGCTTTATTAGACTTTATCTTTTGGAGCAGTTTTAGTTTCATAGCCAAACTATGTGGAAGGTACAGAGATTTTCCATTTGTCCCTTGCCCCTCCCCACACACATAGCCTCCTCATTACAACATTCCCCATTACAGTGGTACATTAGTAACAATCGTTGAACCCAACTGATACATCATTGTCATCCAAACAGGCTCTAGCTTATGTTAGGGCTCACTTTTGGTGTTGAGCATTGTATAGGTTCAGGCAAATGTATATTGACATATATCCACCATACAGTATTGTACAGAGTAGTTTTATTGCTCTGAAGTTCCCTTGTGAATGTCTTATTTTTAGGAAATGCAAACTAAAGGATTTAAGGGACCAGCAAAAAAAAAAAGAAAAAAAAAGTGTTAGTATACACACACAGATAAGTTAATTGCGCCAAAATGTTGTAACTGCTGAATCTAGGTAAAAGGTATAGTTATTCACTATATTATTCTTTACCATTTTTCTGTGTTTCAAGAGTTTTATAATTTAAAAAAAGGAAGAAAATGAAACAAAGAAAACAATTCTGAAGGCAGAGCACCCTGGATTACGACATAAATGCATTTCTTATTGTGGGTCAAGCCCCAGAGGTTGAAAAGGCTATCCAACAGCAACTTGCTGCTCCAGGCACACAGCAGGCAGGCAACGAACTGTTGGTTAATTACCTTTGAGAAGCACAAATTCAACTGAAGAAGCAAGCTGAGAAATCATTTCGTCTCCAGTTACATCCCATTAACTCAAGCTGCATCAAAACATCTAAGGCCTTTCCTGCCTTAGCAGACTTGGGCCTAACCTTAACTCAGCCTTCAGGCCTTTCGTATCTGTTGTTTAATTATTCTTCAGGAAGGGTACTCTGGCTTTCCCCACCAATACCGGGGAGGAAAGCATGTTCACAGAAGACTCGAAGGAGGGTGTGACCAACTGTCCTGGTTGGATGGGGTTGAGGTGTTTCCCAGGATGAGGGACATTTGGTGCTAAAATGAGAACAGATCCAGGCAAATCAGGGCAGTTAGTCATCCCAAATGTGAAAGATGACTTTGAGAGAACCCTGGACAGACTCAGGAGAGCTGACAGCATTGGGCTGTGTGGAAGATGGTACCACTCTGCCTCGTGAGCAACAGCGGCAAACTTAACTCAGAGAAAACTGTGATGAGACAGAGATCTCTCTGTTGCCATCTCAACAGCAATAGCAAATACCACACAGCAAAGTCTCTCTCAGACCCTTAAACAATTTCTCTGATTATTCATCAGCGAATCTGGAAAGCAAAGGACAAAGGAAACTTACTGTAAAAACATCATCATCACCAAGCTCAGCTTCATTATGGATGGTGGAAGAGGATGTCGTTGAACCTAAAAAGACAAAAATGTAATAAAAAGTGTTTCCCAAGAGGGTAAGACAAATCTGATCATTTTAAAAAGGCTGTTTTAATAAAACCACATTCCATTCCTTTCGAATGTGAATCACCAGCAGAAACAAGTTACCTGCGAATTAAATGCTTTAATTTACTCTTCAATTGACTCTTGCCTGAATGCTCCCTAAATTAACTTTGCCTTCTGTTGTTCCCAATTACGCTCTCCAACTTCTGCACTGGCCGCTAGAGAATAAGTTCACAGAGAGACACCATGGAGGGGAAGGGAGAGGCTGGCCAGTCCTCTGAGGGCATGTGTCAAGCCCTGCCTCTGCAGTGACCTCGAGGTCTCAGCTGTGCAGTGGGAAAAGCACTGGACTGGGAATTCCGGGGTAGACCCGCCACAATCTCCCTGTGTAAACGAGGTTTAGCTTCTCTGGTCTTTTCATCTAACAGTGAGGAAACAGCTTGCACAGTCACCCCCAATTCTGAGTTCAGATACTATATTCTAAACCCCAGATTGTGGCCTCCCTTTTAAGCGGACACCCAGGCAAGGAGACCGTCTAAGTGAACACCCAGGTAGGGAGGTTTTTTCTTGCAATACCAGGGTGTAAGTTTTCTTTGCTTTTCCAAGTCAAAATTAAGGCCGCCCTCAGAAAATCCAGCTTATTTCTTCATAAAACCAACACAGGTTTTTAGAGTTCAACTTATTTACCTGTCCACCCTTTTCTTCATTCTGGTATGCAAACCAGTACACTCTACACACACCCCCCTCCAAAGTACCTGGAAATTATGTGTATCAACTTAATTGACTAAAAAAAAAAAAGGCCAAAAGAAAAACATTTAAATCTAAGTGGCATATATGCCAACAGGGAAATTTATCCTCTATCTTTTCCTTTTCTTGGTTAGGCCTTTCCAAATGTGAACTTAGAAAATATTTTGCTATTACATAAAATTGAAATTAAAAGAATTGCTCAGAAAGGGATGAGAAATGCTTAAATTTTCAACAAGAGATCACAGGAGGAAAAGAAACAGTCCCATAATGCCCTCTGTGTAATTCCTATTGGCATCAGGATTTTTCTTTAATCTTTGAGTTACTCCAATCAATCAGTTTAAGGCAAGTTTGATAGAAAACAGCTAGTATATATAGAAAAAAATTACAAGTAGGAGAACCACATTTTGTGTGTAACTTCAGTGATTAAGTACAATCCAATGAAAACTCCTGTCAATAATATAGGAGCTATTTTCTCTCTAAACATTTAAAAGCTATGTTTAATAACAGACATTTAGGCCAGGCGCAGTGGCTCATGCCTATAATTCTACCACTTTGGGAGGCAGAGGTGAATGGATTGCCTGAGTCCAGGGATTTGAGACCAGCCCGGGCAACTTGGCAAGACCTCGTATCTATAAGAAATTAAAAAAAAAAAAAGCTGGGCATGGTGGTACATGTCTGTGGTTCCAGCTATTTGGGAGGCTGAGGCAGAAGGATCGCCTGAGTCTAGCAGGTCAAGGCTGCGGTGGCCATGAGCATTCTACTGTACTCCAGCCTGGGTAACAGAGTGAGATCCCGACTCAAAAAAAAAAAAAAAAAACCCAGACATTTAAATATTTGTCATTTATATGAGACCTATGATGTGAACACTTGTTTCTGTTGTAAATTTTTGGCTAGTTTATGATTGTTGTTCATGGATTCATGTTCTAGTTAGAGCTATCTTATCACTGATTATAATGTTACATGATTTTTCTGAGACTTGCTTTTCTCTTCCCCCAAATCCACAATGAAGAAAATGACATTCATTTCTTAAGCAGATGAAACATACATTCTTTTGTAATTAATTTCCCCAGATTCTGAATTTGGCACTCACATACCTTGCTTGGTATTTCTTTCTTCACAGGGCCCTGGCTATGACACCTTTAACACTAGTTTAACTGATTGTTAACTGAATGATAACTGGATGTGCTGACGTGGAGAATTCGTGTGTTTGCATCTGTGGACTCTAGCCAATCCCACCATGAGAACTGACCGTCCAAAGGGCTTTCCAGGCCATGACCAGATGTAACACAATGCCTACTACTCACTTACCCATAGACCAAGGCCTAAACCAAACCAGGGCTCCCGATGTCACAGATCTCTTTCCTTTTCAGTGGCAGCTGTACACCCTGGGTCTCTGATTACAGGAAGACAGTGGGTAGGCCAGGAGCCTTCTGGGCTCACCAAAATCCATTCTCTACTTCAGAGCCAAGACAGACCAGACCAAGGCCATTTCAATAGTCGGGACAAAGTGAAAGCAATAAAAAAAAATTGCAAAAATGCACGCAGAAATCCAAAATCTGCTTATTTTTTCATAGTAGAGTATAAAAATCAACTGGAATCACTCCTTACTCTGAAATCCATGTTCTCTTTCCTGAATTGTCACTTTAATTACTCTCCTTGGATGTTCTGAAAGTTTTGGCATCTACTGACCTGGCCTCAAACTCTCCCGCAAAGAAACCACATATGTATATGTGATAGCAGACTACTGGAATTAAAAAGAATCTGGAACATTTCCATAGTCTCATGAAGAATGCAGTGACAAGTCCAATACCTTCTATAAGGTCTTCGATTGCTTTCCTCACTCCCCTGTCAAAGGCTCGAGCATCAGCAGGGCTTTGGAAAGTAAGTCCAAACTTCCTATTATCGACTTTCCAGTGATGAAATGTTGGATTGGCTTTGGTGTAGACCAAGTCCTTTCTTACATAGCATTCCAATACCACCTGAAGGATGGAAACACACAGGCTGGTTACTTGTGGAACAGCCATGATTAGGTCTGACTACAAAGTCTAGTTAGGAACCATCACTGGTGGCAACTCACGGAAACCCTCCAGTCCCTGCCTTCAGGCATCTGTGAGTGTCTCCATCTTAGAAAATAATCTTTGCTTGCTTGTAGTCCATCCGATCTTTGCTGCTCCCTGTCCCACTTGGCTTTGGCGTCCTGTTGCCCTCTACCACCCCTTGTCTCACTTAGCCTCCTCCCCCTGTCCCTGGCTGTGGAACACCAGACAGACACCCAGGTCTTGTGTCTTTGCTCTCTGTTCCAGGCTTACTGCTCTTAGATTGGGGCCTATGTAGTGGTGGTTCTCAATCTTTCCTCCCCTGGGACACCAAATTCAACAAGTTGAAAACTTAACTAATTTGCTCTGAAATTACTGCCACTAGTTTCCTCTTCCAACTTCTCCCTATCTGGCAATAAGAACCCTTCTCTGCTCATTCGCCCTGGCTCAAAATCTGTAGTCATCTTTGCCTCTTCTATCTTCTTTATCCCTGGCCTTACTAATCACCAAGTCCATTTCATTTTTCCTTCAACATCTTTTATATCAACTCCATTTCAGTTTTTGCCTCTCTGATCTGGGCCTCAATGAACTTTATGTTTGGATTACTAGCACCTCTACGTGCCTAGCAATTTAGTCTCAGAACTGGTTTTTACTGAGGTGCAACTTTGAGAAGATTGATCTTTTTATCTTTAAAATAGAAACACCAATGTTATCAATGAGAAGATGAACGTGCTTCGAAAACACTGGATACATGAGAAACCTAACACATGACCACACTCATTGCCCAGTATATGTCCACCGTCAAGTTTTCCTCTTCTATCTACTCCAGTTCTCCTTCTTGTTATTTTATTTTCTTTCGCTTTTTTTTTTTTGAGTCGGAGTCTCACTCTGTTGCCCAGGTTGGCATGCAGTGGCATGTTCATGGTCACTGCAGCCTCAACCTATTGGGCTCAGGTGATCCTTCCACCTCAGCCTTCCTAGTAGCTGGAACCACAGGCACATGCCACCACGCCCAGCTAATTTTTATTTATTTATTGGAGAGATGAAGTCAAATTGCTGAGGCTGGTCTCGAACCCCTGTGCTCAGCCAATCCTCTCACCTCTGCCTCCCAAAGTGCTGGGATTACAGGTATGACCACTGTGCCTAGCCTCTACCCGTCATTTTCACAATTTAGTTCCTGATTTCTTATTCTTCCCTAACAGTTTCATGTGTATTAGTCTTGTCCCCCTAGCTAGACTCCAAAAGATCAAAACGTATAATAAAATAACTCGCTCTGTGTCTAGCACAGTGCTACTACTGATAGAGATACCAGAGTTTATTCAATATTATGGAATAACGAAGCATTGCAATCACATGCATATAAACGTCATTCTTTATTCACTAAAAAACTCAAACTATTTACAATATTTATTCCTATGACTTCATTATAAACACTATAATGATTTTGCTAAGATTTTGCTTAGCCTTAATTTTTTTCCCTGGCAAAGCATGGCATGTATCTACCACAATTGATCTTATTAATTTAGACAAAGCAAGGGCAAGAATAAAGGCCTGCCTAAATTAGTATAAATTCAAATAAGAGAGTATCTTTAAATGAGACAAATTCCAAGAATACAAGAAAGCAAAAATAAATTAAATGATGCCTCATAAATGTTTCCTAGCTTCATAAATAAATGAGAATATTCAAACTGGTATATCAAATAGTAGTCCCAAGCAGCTAACTTTATTATATTGAAACAGAACAACAGTCTCCTCACACAATTCTATTTATGATTAAATTGCTTATTATGGCCATTTCTCCCTAAGAATAGTACAATGATTAAATGTCAGCCCAGCCCCATTCCAGATTGGAGAAATTCAAATAACCAAGGATTTAACTAACAAATGTTATCTATTTTAGAATTTAATAGTCTCAATTCAAAGTCTCAAAATAAACTTTTTGTAAAAACAAAGACTCTCAGTTTCTCCATATTTTTAGGGTGAAAAAAATTAGCCGTCGGTTGACATTTTCCAACTTTCCGAAGGTACATTTTCTTAGAAAAGTTTAAGTGACATAAGTTCAGCTACCTAAAGTGAGGAAGAATCAGATATCATCTCTTTATGTCCTCTTAAGCAAAAAAAAAAAAACAACACCATTATGTATCTTAGTCTGAAGACAGAAATGAAGAAGGTCAGATGCTTTCATCTTCATAACAGATATAAGCCCTCTGGTGAAGTTTTGGCACATACACAATTAGGCATTAATTTAAAACTTGAGAAAGTCTTAAAAAAATACCTATACCTTTTAGAATAATATGCATGAAGAGAAAAAAGTGATTATATTCTTGTTGGAAGCTTTAAAAAAATCTATACAAGGAATATACATATTATAAAATATGTACGTAACTTAAGATGCATATTGAAGGTTCCATTTTTCCTCATCACCCTCAACACCTTTTATTTCCAGAGTTACCCACTGCCAGTGTGGTGGGCACAACCTAATTTTCTTTCTGTGGCTTCTTTCTATATATACTCATAAGTTTGTGCATATTTGTGTTTAAATGAAGCCACATCTATACATTGTTTTGCAACTTGTCTTTTATTTTCCTTAAAAAACATGTCTTAGAGATTTTACTTTTAGAAAGTAAAAATAACTCAGTTTAATTCCTCACTATGGATATATTACATTTATTCAACCATTCTCCATACTAACAGGCATCTGGGTAATTTATATCTGGTCACTTTTACAGATGATGCTACAATTTACATCCTTATATATTTTAAGTGAAAATTAGAATTTTGGACAGCTTCCCAAAACATAAGTCTTTTTCAATGAGTCAGTGGTGATATTAAGAAATGCATTTTTTTCATATTTAGAATAAAATGTGTCAACATTTGGAAGATCTGCTTAACTCAGCAAACCACGATTTTCCAGATGACCAATGCATGATGTTATAAAATCAGGCATGAGTACAAGATCGATTCAAAGTGAAAGACAAAACAGAGGATTTCTTTTTTTTTTTTTTTTTAACAAACCAAAATATTTTAATGTAAAAGAATATGAGGCCAGGTGTGGTGGCTCAGTCTGTAATTCCAGCACTTTGGGAGGCTGAGGCAAGAGGACTGCCTAGGCCTAGGGGTTCGAGACCAGCCGGGGCAGCTTGGTAAGATCTCGTCTCTACAATTAATCACAAAATTAGTCGGGCGTGATGGCGTGCACCTGTAGTTCCAGCTACTTGGAAGACTGAACCGGAAGGGTCGCCTAACCTCAATAGGTGGAGGCTGCGGTGGCCGTGAATGTGCCACTGCACTCCAGCCTGGGCGACAGAGCAAGACTCCAACTTTAAAAAAATATGTATATATGAAAAGTTCATTGATATGGTTCCAGATTCCACATCTAAGAAACAACTCTGGGTTGTTTTAATAGTGTCAAAGAAGAATATCTACAGTTGTCTGAAAATGTTATTAAAATATTTCTCCCTTTCTAACTACATAATCTTTGTGAACTTGGATTTTCTTCATATATTCAACCAAAATAGCATATTATAACAACAGATGAAAAGCTGGAGCAGATAGCAGAATCCAGCTATTGTCTATTAAGCCAGATATTAAGCTCTCCAAAAACATAAAACAATGCCACTCTTCTAATTACTTTTGCTCTAGAAAACAGGTATATATTATGTTATAAAAATGTCATATACAGTAACAATATTGTTAAATTTTAATAAGGTAAATGTTAATAGCGATAACTCACCAAACCACAAGCTCTCTGGGGTCCTCAATAAATGTTATATAAATGAGTGTAAAAGGATGCTGAGACCAAAAATGTTCGAAAACTTTTGCTGTCCATAAATCTTTGTGTATTGAGTCTTTTTCTATGATAGTGTTCTAGATGTGAACTGCTAGGTAAAAAGATATGCACATTTAAAATTTAAATCCTGGTCGGGCAGGGTGGCTGACACCTGTAATCCCAGAATTTTGGGAGGCCAAGGCGGAGAATCATTTGAGGCCAGGAGTTCAAGACTAGCTTGGGCAGTACAGCAAGATCCCGTCTCTACAAAAAGTAATAAAAACAATTAGCTGGGCATGGTGGCACATGTCTGTAGTCCCAGCTACCCAGGATGCTGAGGCAGAAGGATTGCTTGAGCCCAGGAGTTCAAGGCTGGAGTGAGCCATAATCAAGCCATTGCACTTCAGCCTGGGAGGCAGAGCAAGACTCGCTCTCTTTCTTAAAAAAAAAAAAAAATCCTGCCAAACTGTCTTTCCAAGAGCTTTGCTAGTTTAAATTCTTCCACATAGTATGTGAGGATGCTTACTGACCTGCACATGGGCGATGACTAGAATGATCAACCTTTTAGAGTCTGTGATTAATCTTTATGAAGTGGTTTCTCACAGGAGCTGTTTAAGGAGGAAGCTCCTGTAATCCATCTAAAATAAGATTCAACTCAGAAAATTTTAATTTATATGTAGTTTCTCTGGCTTGATTGTCCCTAACCTACCAAAAAAAAAAAAACTAGAATAACTCCTTGTGAATGTGTGTCTGGATCAGAGACTTCCCCTAGAAACAATGCAGTTCAGTTCACAGCATGTAATTAAACAAACAAAAAATGTAATTAGACAAAAAAAAAAAACTCACAATATGACGAATTCTAGAAAAACTACTGACAACACTGTTTCTAACAGAAAGAGCATGTTGTACCCTAGTTAGAATATTGGGAACCCTGAGGCCCTCCATGCAATGTGTCCTAAAGATGGTCTGCAACGTTTCTTTGCCATTCTACCTTGTAGAAGGGGATTCTCTCAACAACCCACCCCAGCTGCCGAGCTATGTGGGCCAATACCCTCCAATGGGCACTACAGAAGCTTGAGAGGCCAAAGGAGTCACCAAACTCCAAAGGGGTTTGTGTGTGTGTGTGTGCGTGTGTCTATCACTGAGTACAGGACTCCAGAATCTCCCAGAGCGTGAAACAGGCAAGGTGAGGGATGAAAAGATGCAGAAGTACAACTGGGTGCATGGGTGTGTGATTTAAGTACTAGAAAATATGAAAGGCCAGAATTACAGCATCACAGAATGTAAAAAGGGTGGAAAGAGGGATGGGGAGATGGAGAAATGATGGGGGAGGAGATAAGCACACTTTTAAGATAGCATGATCACGTACAATAGCAACAAACAAAAGAAGCCGGTCCACGACTCCAGGGGGTGGACAGAGGACTGGGAGTGCCCTATTAGTATGCAGAGTTAGTGTGAAGGGACTGGGTTTTGCAAAGAAATGGGCTCCAGTGCTGGCTATGCCAATGACTGCGGACCCAGACTGAGGAATTGGGTCATTTTTTGGAGCACTGAGTCTCCCTATTACAATGTGGAGACAGTGATATCTTTCTCTTTCAGAATGTAGCAGGAATTTAACTGAGGTTAATTATGTAAAGGTCCAAGAACAAAATGATAAAAGTTTACTATACAAGACACTGGGAAGACAGTGTTTGTAAAATTAAGGGGGCTGGGCTGTAACCTAGAGAGCCATTTCAGATGGAAATATTCTATGACAAAGCAAAGAAATACCAGAAAAATATAGCTTTAAAAAATATGTAACCCAGCTGGGTTCGGTGGCTCAGCCTGTAATCCTGCACCTTTGGGAGGCTGAGGTGAGTGGATTGCCTGAGCCCGCGGGTTCGAGACCCGCCTGGGCAGCGAGACCTCATCTCTACAATAAATCAAAAAATCAGCCGGGCGTGGTAGCGCGTGCCAGTAATTCCGGCTACTCGGAAGGCTGAGGCGGAAGGATCGCTGGAGCCCAGCAGGTCGAGGCTGTGGTGGCCAGGAGCGGCCACTGCGCTCCAGTCTGGGCAACAGAGTGAGACTCCAACTCAAAAAAAAAAAATTTTTTAATATAACCCTTCAAACAAGATAGTGTATTAAAACACAGAACTACACAATAAAAAAGAGAAAGGAGTGAAAAAAATTTCTGTCAAAATTCTGTGAAAAAAGAACACCAACTAAAATAAAAGGGCAAGCAACAGATTATAAAAATATATTTGTAGCAAATATGGCAGAGGAAGACTAATATTTTTATTATACAAGAGAGTACACAAATCAAGGAGAAAAATAAGGCCCCAGTAGGTAAATACACAAAGGGAAATAACAGATAATTTAAAGTTACAACTGTTTAACATTAGTAAGCAACAGTAAGAGACTACTGTTAGTCTACCCAATTGGTTCAGATTTAAAATATTTGACTCTCAGCCGGGCTCAGTGGCTCAGCCTGTAATCCCGCGCCTTTGGGAGGCTGAGGTGAGTAGACTGCCTGAGCCCGCGGGTTCAAGACCCGCCTGGGCA